GGCAGGGGAATGGAGCAGAGTGCTAGACTGTGAAATAAGTAAGAGGCAAAACCCCAGCATGTGGTCAAGGGACGAAGCATAGGGAGAGGAGATGGTGTCCAGCATCCATGACTGGCTGGCTGCTGATCCTGTCTCTCTAGACAAGGAACCCATAAAGGGAGTCAGGGCAGTGACAGGAGGAGGTGTGGACTCAAGTCGGAGGCACCTATGATTAACCCAATTGGAACCGTCCGGGAAGGAAGATGGAAGCCAATGATCTTAAGCTCCAGAGAGGAAGACAGCGCCATGTTCGTCATCAGAGTGGAACTGGTAATGATCCCGTGATGTGATGATGACAATCTTCGGGGAAAGCATGTGCTGTAAGGAGCCCCAGTGAGTTACTTTCTGTTTTCACTCCAACCGTGTGCCCATGTGGCAGTTTAATCTTAATTTCTTTTGATGCACAGCAAACACCGCCTTTCAAAGCTTTCAAACTGTCACCAAGGAAAGGTACCTTCCAAGTAAATCACCCTCTGTTTTGATGATGCCTATTATAAGACCACTCACTGCATTTCCTGAGCTGGTGTGGTTTTAACTCAGTTGTACCCAACCACAAAGCTTCTCCATAGGACTGATGCAATTAGCCCATGATGGTATCAGCCAGAGGAGCGAGTTGTAACCCATTCCACAGAAGAACATCGGCTTAGGCACGTGAGGGGTATCCAACTTCTCGAAGCTAGAAAGCCTTTCAAGAGCTTCCCAACGATGGTCTTCAGGGAGGGTACCGGACTGCCTCTTTTCCTATGTCTATCTGCCTTCCAAAAGCAGCGCCTACGAGTCAGGAAGCCATTTGGAAAATCTGCAGTTCTCGAGAATGCCTCATGGTAAACAACACAAGCAATGTAGTCGAAGGTCCTTTTAGAACCAGCTCTTCGCTTTCCCCACCACAGATGACTACTCGTAAGGAAATGTTCCATGCACCGCTAAAGACCTCCATAACACCAACACCTTTGCTTTTTCGCTAAAATCGGATGTTCCGTAATTTCTCTAATTTTGTCCCTAGTTATTCCTCCACCTTGAACCCTCTAATGAAGGCTCAAGGCACTGATGGCAACAACTGTCCATTTCCCTTCCCTGACTGACAGCCTATGCACCTGCCTCCTGCATCACAAACAGAGCCCGTGTCCCACTCCCACTGGAAGAGGCCACACAGAGAAAGTCTAATCAGGTTTCGATGAAGCACCATGTGCAAAAGCCTCTTTTGCTCTTAATATTGTTTTGGAAATGGGGTGCCTGGGTGGCTCAGTCGGTTAAGCGACTGCCTTCGGCTCAGGTCATGATCCTGGAGTCCCCGGATCGAGTCCCGCATCGGGCTCCCTGCTCGGCAGGGAGTCTGCTTCTCCCTCTGACCCTCCTCCCTCTCATGCTCTCTCTCATTCTCTCTCTCTCAAATTAAAAAATATATATATATATTGCTTTGGAAACCTGCGCTTTGTTTTCCTCCCTTAGCTGAGAATGAAAAAAAAAAAAAAAAAAAACCTCCATTTCCCAATCCGTTCTGGTATACCTTCCCGCTCCCCAAACCTCCCGTCGCCAGGATTAGACGGACGCCCAGGAGAAGACGCTTCCCGTCCCTGTGCCTGAATGTGCCTTTTAACACAATTCAAGATCGACACACCTTCTCTTAAGTAAAACTGTGACGAAGCAAGAGTGAAAGCAAACAAACAAACAAAAGTTGCAAAAAAAAAAAAAAAAGCTTTGATGCAGGTGGTAGTGGCTGTCTTCACAGCTAATAAATGTCCCGATGCGCCCACTGGTTCCCTTACCGGCTGGCTAGACTTCTCTGAGTTCTTCTGTTTGGTTTCCGTCTGATCTCCTCCCAGGGCTGCACCTGCCAGCAAGGGCATCAGGAGCTGCACTAGAAGTGATGCCACCCTGCAAATCTCTCCTGGATCATCCAAGGCCAGGCTTGCCCTTGCTGGGGCAGGTGGGGGAGGGAGGGAGGGGGGCCCGGGGTCACCACCGCAGCCTGCTGTCATCAGATTCAAATCCCGAATCTGCTACTGGCACTGAGGATGATTTCATGTGTGTCCACCGCAGCTTAACTTGATCCCTTTTCACCAGGGGATCGCTCTCCTGCCACCGGAATGGACAACCTGCGAGCCCTAACAGCTGAAAGAAACAGCATTCACGATGAACTGCCAAGGGCAGCAGGCGTGGCCTTGGGATCGGAGGATGAAGCGTCTGGGATCCCAGAGCACCGCTCCCCCCTCAGATCCACCTCCTGTCCTGGCGCCAGGGCCCCTCTCCCTGGAGCTGACACGACTGCTGGGCCGTATGCAGCAGGAGTCGCCACCCCTGACAGGGGGCAGTCAGAGTCACTGGTTGAAGAGAAGGAGACACTGAAAGGTTTCCAGAACAGCCTCTGACTGAGGGGACTTTACACCTTTGGACAAAACGGGGTTTTTGAGGGTTCAGAGAATATGCAGACTTCACATCCCGAAAAGGCTAAGAGCAACTGAAGGATGAAGGCAACCACCATAGTTGGGTGCTGCTTAAATCAACAAGCAAATACTTCCTGGGCACCTACGACGTGCTCAGATCTAGAGCCGACGCTGCAGGTGAGGAGGCCCAGAGGATGAGCAAGTAGACGCACACTGCTGTCCACAAACCTCAGTGTGGCGAGTCTCTCGGGCTGCACATCCCCAGAAATTCTGACTCATTGAGCCTAGTGTTGCTGAATCTGCAACTTTAGGACACATGCCCAGGTGGCTCTGCTGCAGGAGATCCTGGGGCTAGACCACCTTTGAGAAACGCGGGGCTGTGATCGGATTCCTGCCCTTAGGCAGCCTGCAACCCAGACGGGGTGGTAGCAAACACCCACAAGCACTACATATCCATAGATTTTTTTTTTTTTAATGATGCACCTTCTTTTGTGTTTAAAGAGTTTATTTATTGTCAGAGAGAGAGCGAGCACAAGCAGTGGGGAGCAGTAGGAAGAGATGCAGGCTCCCAGATGTGGGGCTCGATCCCAGGACCCTGGGATCATGACCCGAGCTGAAGGCAGACGCTTAACCAACTGAGCCACCTGGGCGTCCCCATAGGTTGCACGTTCTAAATGTTACAGGAGTGCACAGAGGCCTGAGCATTCCAGGAAGACTTTGTGGACGAGCCGGCTCAGCAGGCAGGCAGGAGCTGCATAGAAAGAGACAGCCTCGTGCAACCATCTTAACCAAACCTCCTGACTCAGTGTGACAAGGGGGCCATGGCAGACAGCATGACTGAAGATCAAGACCGGAGTTGGAAGACTGCCACCAAGCAGGTAAACAGGCTTCGTATGTTGAGTGCAGGGAGGGGACCGTCACCAGGAGAACCATAACACTGGCATTTCCAGATAACACCATGTTCGCCTTTTCATTCCACCACATTCATGTGGTTTCCTGCACTTCATAATTTAACACTTGCAAGACCAAAAAAAAAAAAAAAATGCTGTCACGAAACCCAAATAAGGCACCACTTGGAGGCAGAGAGCCAGCAGCTAACAAGAGTGACATCTGAGCATCATTTAAAGTGTCATTCATAGCTCTGCTTTGGAAAAGGGATGTTTAGTCAGAAAGAAAAATAATAAATTCTGTGCTACGTAAAACGAAGTTTGGGGCTCCACAGGAAAAAGGGATCGGCAGATAACCCGTAAGACAGTGATAGCAAACAGAGAAGGAAGAGTGAGATCCCCGACAGAGAATTAAAGGACAGGGGTACCTGGGTGGCTCAGTTGGTTAAGCGGCTGCCTTCGGCTCGGGTCATGATCCCAGGGTCCTGGGATCGAGCCCCGCATCCGGCTCCCTGCTCAGCGGGAAGCCTGCTTCTCCCTCAACACTCCCCCTACTTGTGTTCCTCTCTCGCTGTCGCTCCTCTGTCAAATAAATAAAATCTTTAAAAAAAAAAAAGAAAAGAAAACTAAAGGACAATATTCTGTTCTATTCTATTCTATTCACGTAACAATGTGCTACGTTGGCTTTAAAGCTGTAAGGGAATACATCACTAACCACAGACACCACAAGGCCTGTTTGACCAAAGGCCTGGCTCAGAAGATCGTAGAGATAAGTATGGAGAAAGGACCCCAAAGTACCTGGCCCCTTTTCTCCACAATGGCCTGTCCAATGAGCCTCCCTGCCAAAGGTGACCTGCCAAGGACTCACAATCGATTCGGCTAAGAATCAGAGGGGATAATTGTTTAATTAATTTCAGCAGAGTGAACTGTCGAATTTTTAGATTTGCAACAGACCTTGGAGGTCAACGAGGCACACACTGGAGTTTTCTAGAAGTGACCCATTCCCCAAGGATGAGTAAGTTGGCTGAGGTCACCAAGTTAGGTGGGGAGAACTGGCTTCCATTTGAGGACTGTTTCTAAGAACTACGGTCAACTAGGCTGATTAAACTTCCTTGGAAATCCACAATATCTTGGTATCATTTATTATTTCTTTATAGTTTGGAGCCTTGAATTCCACCCCTAGACCAAGGGTGTATTCATAATGGGCATCATATGTAGTTAAAAGGTGCTCAATAAATATATGTTGAGTAAGACTTGGAAAACCCCAGTGCCTCTCACCCTCCCCACCCTGATACTTCACTACAGGGTAAGAAATCTGCCATCAGATCAAATCGACGGTCTCGTGTGTGATTAATTCCTTATGCTCTCAGCTAAAAGCAATGTCTGGAAGACCTAGTCTGTTGGGTCATTTGTGTGTTCAGATGTTCAGATTTTTTTTCCCCTCCTTTTTGGTCTTTTCTAACCACAAATATACTCAGATCCCACTGCTTTGCAAATTTCAGGAACAAACACACTAAGTAAATTTCGTTGTTCTCTTGGCTCTCCATCACTAGAACATTTTCTCAAACAACCTGTTGCTTGGGCTGTAGAGAAATAGCCAGGCACTTGAATAAGCTGTCCTGAGACACCAAATCAACGATGATTGATGAAATCTAGAGCTAATGAATGCCAAGTCCTTTGGATGACTTACCCACAGCCGTTTGTGTTTGAAGACCATCCGTGCAGGCTGAAGTCCACTCCTTCTTGCTCATGGTCTGTAGCAGCATGACTTCTGAGGCCTCAGAATAAATTCTTTCATTTTGCTCCAGTATGCTACAGAAAAGAAAACAAAACAAGTCAGAATGAAAAATGCCACTTCAAGCAGTTAGTTGGTATTCAGGGGGAAATCCCTGGCTTCTCTCAGATGTATATTTTATAACCTCAAACAAGCATGTTAATTATCAGAACGAAGCAATCACACAACTCATCTACCTATGGAGCCCTGAAATACTAGAGCGGGGGAGGAAGAAAGAAAACAGAGCACCTGCTGGGGTAGGCAGTACATCTTGAAAATTATGATATATACCACTGGGAACATGCCCGCAAAATTTCAAGCTTACTAACTGAAATAAGTACACCGAGAAGGATTCACAATGTTTAATAATTCAAGATAACTGATGTGTAGTCATCAAGGGTAGGAAGAGGAGAAAGTTTTGTTTCGAATTAAAATTCATCTGATTCTGCCCATTAAAGACTCAGACTCACTGAGCTACTATTAATATCTTTAAATGCTGTTAGGATTGAACCAAAAAAAGATGCAGTGTTAGAAAGAGGAAATTTTCTATTTTGCACCACAAATAGGTAATTGATGGGTTTTCACTCTGACTCGATACATCTCGATAAAGAACTGCCCCAGCCAAGTTGGAAGGTAGCATTTACTTCACACGCCGAATATGAAATGAATGGTTAAAATATGCATGCCTCTTTATCCTACTCAGAGCACCAGACAAAAGCCTACACATTAGAACTGTGTGTGGCTCTGAAAAGTTCTCTTCTGCCTTGTGAGCTTATAATGTTCACTTGTCACCGGGTGCTGTTCTAGCTTCCCCCGAAGCTCAGACAAGTCCACCCCACCGTTTTCTGACAATGGCCATCTGAGCCTGGAAATGGTCTTCAAAAGATGTCTGCAGCCTCTTCTAGCCTCTTGCTAGCTCTTCCTCGTCTGTTTCTGAAAGCACACTGCAAGACTGCCATCCAGCTCTCTCACTACGATGACTGCATCTCGCTTGGGACACCAAACCCTACGCATCTCCAAAGGTCCTGAGGCCACCGCCAGGTCATCATCCCATGACCCGGTTGTAAGAGAGAGGATATACCTTCATGCCTCATGACTGCGTGAATTATCAATTCCTTGAAAGCCTTCTGAAGCTATTACTTTATAGAAGACTCAAAGGGTCTGAGAAGAACTTTTGGGGGGTTGTGTCTATCTGTGGTTAAATGCGTGTAGGCACTCAGAACTTCTGAGGAGGAAGAGAAAGCTGCTCTTGGGTAATGTTTAAACAAGTGAGTTGAGTTAAAGCCCATTATATTTTCAGTCTAGTTGGAAGAGCGACTGCCTGAAAATGGCAAAGTCTTTTTTATTTTCTTGATGTTACCAATACCCACTGAAGGGCGGCTGTCACGATTTTATTAGTTTTCAGAGCGGCTTTCATGAAATGTACCTCCGCTCCCACTCAAACGTGTAACAGTAACATATTGCTACAAATCAACATAAGCCAGGAAGTTCAAAGCATGACAAACTGTCTTTATCTCACCGTTTGGGTAAAAACAGAATTTTAAAGGGAGGAGGAAGACTTAAGCGAGCCCACTGCGCGTTACTGGCTGATATTAATCTTCCTTTACTAAAAATAAACTGCTGCCTTTCTTTCATTTGTTACCAGTGTTCTGTCGTGGTATTTTAACTGGGAGGGTCTCTGTCGTCTGGCTCACGGTTCTTCTGCAAAGAAGCTGCCGGCCCAGGGTGGCTGACGGCACACAAGTTAATCTGGGCCTTGAGCGAACTCAGGGTTTAATCACTCATGCCCACTGACTCACTGAATGCCAAGTATGGTGTTGGTTCGAAAAGCTTACCCGAAGCTCAGTACCTTCTCGCGGTACTCTTTCTTTCTTTTTCTGTGCTGCTTTTGCCTAAAGAAAGACATCCATTTCTGGATTAGATTTTGTCACCACGTGGAGCAAAATTATCTGGGAGAGGCAGAATGGCTCCCTCATTAGCTCAGGGCCCTTCCCTGGCTGCCAAAGCCAGGTGTCCAGAGGGGCAAGTCACACTATTCGGAGAGAAGGAAAAAAAAAAAAAAAAAAACACAGAAAAACAGGGGGAACAAGGCCTGATCTAAGTGACAACTTTCCATTCTTACCTCTGTAGATGTGAAGGAGTTAGAAGTGATTCATTTTGTGATCTAGAGCCGACCCTCAATTACACATAATGCACCACGTGGGAGATGACTTTTGTCAAAAGAAAAACCACTGAACATTCTATACCCCTCCTTTTAAGCAATAATTTCAATATGCTTTCCTCTTTCAGCCAACTTTTCAGCAGTGCTGCTAATAACCAACAAAACAAACTGGCTTGAGTTTAATCTCCTTCGCCTACCCATTCCTGTTTGCCAGTTGAAGCTATAAATAGAGATAAGACCAAAAGTCTAGAAAGAAGAAAAGAACACCAGGGGACTAGAGCATTCACAGATCTGCCTGAACACTGAAAGTTATCTTTATAAACAAGGATTCCAATCCAGATGATATCCTTACAGGGTCTGAAATGCGATAAGCATTTTTGTGATAATTTTCTGAAACACTTATAAATAGGCAGCAGCAGCGGAGTAGATCAACATGTGTCAGAAACAGTGGCTCAAAACCCCTGAGGTGGGGCGCCTGGGTGGCTCAGTCGTTAAGCGTCTGCCTTCGGCTCAGGTCATGGTCCCAGGGTCCTGGGATCGAGCCCCGCATCGGGCTCCCTGCTCCGCGGGAAGCCTGCTTCTCCCTCTCCCACTCCCCCTGCTTGTGTTCCCTCTCTCGCTGTGTCTCTCTCTTCAAATAAATTTAAAAAATAATAAAAAAATAAAAAATAAAACATAATTATTAAAAAAAAAAAAAAACCCATGAGGTTTTTTTTTTCTTTCTTTTCATCTCAGTTTTGCCACTAACTGGATTTTTCAACTTAAGCACCATCTCCTAAGTAGAATTAGTTCCTTATCTATCAAATAAAGGGATATAAGTAAAAGTTCTCCATAATTAATCCCCAATTAAAATTCAAGCGGCTTTTATACGTGTTGGAGTATACCATATCAAATGAGATCTCTAAAAACACAATTATATCTTACATGACCTGTTAGGTACATCGCCATTCTAAAATTCAACAATTAGACAAAGCATAGGAAACAAAAAAGAGGGGCACCCGGATGGCTCAGCTGTTGGGCGTCTGCCTTCGGCTCAGGTCATGATCCCGGGTTCCTGGGATTGAGCCCCGCATCAGGCTCCCTGCTCTGCGGGAAGCCTGCTTCTCCCTCTCCTACTCCCCCCCACTTGTGTTCCCTCTCTCCTGTGTCTCTCTCTGTCAAATAAATAAATAAAATCTTAAAAAAAAAAAAAGAAACTAACAGGTTCATTGTGAAATACCACTTCAGTGGGGGATGGGTGTTCTAGTTAATCAACAGGGCTGGGAAAATTAGCTCTTTATTTGGCAAGAGTCAGATCCCCATCTTACACAATTCAGAAAATAAATTCTAATAAATAATTAAACATACAAATGTGTGTTTCCACAGATGTACATATATAGGGTATTTATTATACATATATATGTCATTTTATACAATTAAACACAGATAAATAATTTTATAATCATGAGAGGCCCTGTAGGCCATTACAGAGACTCTGACTTTTTACTTCAAGTGACACAGGAAGAGACCCGAGAATTGTGAATGGAGTGGTATAAAGATCTGCCTTATGTTTGAAGGGATCATTCTGTCTGTTGGGAAGAAGAGACCAAAAGGGGATAAGGCTAAAAACAGGGAGCCCAGTTAGGTGACTGCAAAAATTCAGGTGAGACACCCCATACATGGACTAATAAGGTGGTGATCTTATTACTAGGGGAGGAGGTAGTGAGAACTGGTGAGATTCTAGGTATATTTTGAAGATCAAGTTGACAAGTGGTATAAGAGAAAAAATATATTTTGAAGGTCAAGTTGATAAGTGGTATAAGAGAAAGAAAAGAGTTAAGGAGGATCCATTCAAGTTTTTGACCAGATCATCTCTACGAACAGAGTTGCCATTCACCAAAACAGAAAAGATCATGGTTCGAGAAGCAGGTGTTGGGAGCTCCATTTTTGCATGTCAGATCTCAGCTGCCTAATAGACATCCTGGGGAGATACCACATAGACAGTAGGATATGGGAGATACCAAGTAGCCAGTAGGATGTGAAAGTTTGAAATTCACAGACATGTGGACATAAGACAAGTTAAAGCAAGAGTAACTGTCATAGGTGGGTCCCAAGATCACACCTCTTGGTATTCATGCCCATGTATAGTCCTCTCCCCTTGAGTATAGACTAGATTGAGCCATTCTCGTCTAACAAACGGAGGGCAGCAAAGGCAATGGGATGTCATTTCCAAGATTAGGTGACAAAACTGGCTTCCATCTTGGATGCTCTAGAACATTCTCTCCAGGGTTACTCACAATGGGGGCGGGGATTGGCTGCCCGGCTGTGAAGCCATCCTGTGGAGGGGCCCACATGGCCTGCTAGCATCTATATGAATGAGCTTGGAAGCAGATCCCAGCTCCTCCCCACCCCACCTTCAGATGAAACAGCAGCCTGGGCTAATGAATGGCTTGACTGCAATGTTACGGAGGTCCCGAGCCTGAGACACTGATCAGAAGTGTGCCCTGGTTCCTACTTACAGAAACTGTGAGATAATAATTATTTCTTGTTTTAAGCCACCGAGTTTTAGGGTAATTTGTTACACAGCAATAGATAACTAATACACTTATGATGTGCAAAGCACTGCTCTAGGAATTTTATATGACTTTGTACAGTTGGAGAAACTGAGTCACAAACAAGTTGCATCACCTGCCCAACACCACCCATATGTGACGGAGGTGGGAATCCAACTCAGGCCATCTGACTCCAGAGCTGAGGCTCTCTGAGATTGCAAGACAAGACCCCTCGAAGATAACCTTTTCTACCTCGGATGTGCATACCTGAAACATGAATTCTCCACTGCAGGAAGTGTTAATATCATAGATTTTATACAAACAAGGGCCAGTGTGATCTTCACCA